AAGAGGGAAGAGGCAAAGCCTTATCTACCTGTGCATCCCACTTCTTATCTGTGTCAATGTTCTATGGCTCTCTTCTCTTTATGTATCTTCGACCCAGTTCAGCTAATGAAGGGGATAAAGACATATTTGTTGCTGTTTTTTATACTGTAGTAATTCCTTTATTAAATCCCTTTATTTATAGTCTTAGAAATAAGGAAGTTACAAATCTTGTGAGAAAGATTATGAAAAAGATAATTTTATAACACTGTAAAGCAAGTACCTTCTGTCAAGGAAATGTTATATATATATATATATATATACATACATACATACATATATATATATATATATATATATATATATATAGTGTATGTGGGGGGAATACCATACAGAGGGGTTACAATTACATGAGCAAGGTAATGAGTACATTTCTTATCAAGCATTATTGCCTCCTCCTTTGTTATTTCAACTTAATAACACATATTATTATTTTAGAGGTAGTAAAAACATTTTTTCTCCCCAACCCCTCCCCCCCCCCGCGCTGCGCCAAAGTTTGCCACTTTGTACTCAGAACTTTGACTCATTAAAATAGGGTGACATCCATCTCAAGATGTTTCAGAAAGACAACATTCTATTAAAATATACTTGCCAATATAAGTAATAGTAGGATCCGTCAGAAGTGAACTAAGATATTGTAGTCAAAAATGACTCTCTTAAACAATTTACTCTCATTTTTTTTTTTTTTTTTTTAATTGTGAAAATACTGTACAGAGGGGTTACAATTACATGGGCAAGATAATGAGTACATTTCTTATCAAGCATTGCAGCCTCCTCCTTTGTTTCCCCTTCCCATCCTCTCCCTGCACCCCCACCCAATACTCCCCAGCCCCCCCCCCCCCGCCCCCTCACCGGAAGTTGTAAGGTTCATTTTCGACATAACGACTTGTACATCTCATTGTTGCAATGGGTCCACCTGTATCCCTATTTAAACGATTTGTTTTTCCCCTTCCCCTCCACAAATTATACCGACATCAAATACAGTGAAAGCAGGGGTTATACTGTGGGGGAGGGATATAAATGTGTTAGAAACAATCACAAGAAAGAAAGAAAAAAACATTTGAGTCCATATCTTAGGGTTCATTTATTAGAGTATTTTTGTAACATGGTTGTGATTAAAAATTATGGTCTTCATAATAAAATGATTAGTGTGTTTATTTTTACATAGTTTGTAACTTTGCCATCACATGTGACACTCTATTGACTGATTATCTATTAAATCAAAGTGTTTTATGCCTTTGTTAGTCATTTGTGCTTTGTTAGTCATTCGGCTTTCCCAAAGCCTGAACTGACTCCAGTCAAAACTCTCAACACCTTCATAGCATTTACAAAAGATGAATATATTTGCAAATAAAGAATGAAATCATGAATAGCTAAACAAAAATAAATATTAGGAAAAACATTTAATTGAAAATGTACTATCCTCTGGACATTAAGCTATATATGTCTTAAATACATATATGTGAGTGTGTGTATGCGTATATATATATATATATGTGTGTGTGTATGTTTGCAAAATCATTGCTATAAATATATACATATATGTATAAAACTGCGTATTTACTTATATACATATCCATATACATGAATACAACAACCAAATACAACAACTACACTTTTTAAATAATTTTCTTGAATAAAGTCCTATACATTAAAATAATGAGTAGCTTGTTTATGTTCATCCCAACAGGTATGATGGTATTGAAGTTGGCATCAATATTTCCTTTTTCTATAAGCTTGATTATAGGGAGACAGATAATTTCATTTCTGGTAATTGATTATTAAATAGCATTGCAAGTAAATTGTACCTTAAAATGAAGATGTTTTTCAAACCTACAGAAGAGGCTAGAAAATCTGGTAGTTAATATCAAATATCCTCTAGACCTTATGATTGATCATGAAATTCATCATGTCAATTTCTATTGGATAATTAATTGGATGACCTGATCTAATTATTACCTTATTACTTTGTTAGTCTTCAATTACTAGGTCATGCAAAGAAGAAATTTATGCTTTATATTCATGTGATATAACAAAATCAGGAGATATGTATACAACAGGGTCCAGAATATAACAGGAATTATTCTGCTAATAAGCTATAATTTGCTAGTGAAGAGAATAAAGCCTTATTTCCAAGCAATAGGTGTATTAAGTTTGGATTAGCTTATGAGTATATTCCATAAACTTTATATGAATCCCATATGCCTTCACATCAATTACCTGTTTCTAATTTTGTAGTTCTTCTGAGACAAAAATATGATGAAACTTTTCAAAATAGATATCAAACAGATATCCAGAGACATCTGTTTTCTGACTTAATTATAAAGGGTCCAATAAAGGGTTATGTGTTGGATACTTCAACAAGGTTTCATGATGTTTTTACAGTTAGAATTTAATGTACAACTCCTCTTTTAAAGGACATTATCAGTCAGAATCAAGCCCACTGATTTCCTTTCCCTATTGCAATCCTACCAATATTTTTTATGTATGTCTTCATCATCTACCTTAAATTTTATATGGAATTTCACACAACCGCTGATGAGACTTACTTATGATATTATATAACTTGACACCAGTGAGACAAAGTGATTATTTTCTGGAAAAGTGATAATGTATATTGTTTGTGTTCAATTCAAGAGTATTTTTAGAGGGTTGGGAGGAGTGGCTCAGTTGGTAGAGCACTAGCCAGCGAATGAAGAGGTCAGGAGCTGAGTTTGTGTTCCACGCTCAGAAAGCAAAAAGAAGAGATTCTTTTTACTGAACCCAGAAATCTTTCTATCCTTATATTCTCTATCTTGGTTATGTTTTTTTGAAAACTGCATGCTACTTTGGTCATCATTCCATTGTGCACTCTTGAATAATATCCATAGCAGAAATGTCTCTTTTATAATTAAATCAATAAATATCGAGGGCTATGAACAAATCAACAAGATGAAGATAACCATCAAACAAACGTTAGTGAAATTGTTTTACTTTCTTGTCTTACAGGACAGCTTCAATTAATTTCAAGTGGTTTGTATTTTTAGGACTTTCAAAATGCATTGATGTCATTGCAATGAATTCCCTTTGGGACTGAATGGAACAGTTTAACTTCACAATGTAAGGGTCATAATTAAGAACAATGACCGAAAGGTTGCCTCTAAGGTTGTTATTCATCTCATCCTGAATACTTGGATAGCAAGGTGCAAGTACACATTACAATTCTGACACCTTCACCATAAAGCAAACAATGCTCTAGCCAAAATCTTTTCTCTGTAAAAAAAAAAAAAAGAAGGTAAGGAAATTACATTACTTTTAGCCACTATATTTACTTTTCAAAATTAAAAAGAAGGTAAGGAAATCACATTAATTTTAGCTACTATATTTACTTTTCAAAATTGTTTTTACCTTTTCAATATTCTGAAATTTCAACTCCCATTTTAAATGCCTTGGTTTACTTTTTAAAAAAATGAATAGTATGTAATTTTAGCATGAGGCATTACACTGTTACTCATTTTATTTTCTAAATAATGAAAAATGCAAATTATGACAGTGAAATTTAAATAATCCAGTCAAAATGTGTGGCATGCATATTAAATGTGATTTCTAATAACCATTTTTGGGGGAAACATATATATATATATGTGTATATATATGTATATGTATATACACATATGTATATATATACATATGTGTATATACATATACATATATGTATATATATGTATGTATATATTTATATATCTTAAGATGATCACATTGAAATTGCTGGCCATCAACTTCACCAGAGTTGAGATTCCAAACAGCTTACTAAGGATCTGTTGTAGAGTAATGGAAGAAAGTTCAGCATTCCCAGATCAATAGCAAGGATCTAAGATTGTAATGAATTCTGTCTTCTCTCCATAGAAAGTTTTTGTGTTACTCAGAATTATAAACAGGACAGGTCTTGTGCATGTTATCAGAGTCCTATGACAGTTATGCCCACAGCAGCCCCATAGTACTGCATAATTCCTGTCTCAGAATTATCTAAATATAAACCTGAAGACATTTATTAGTAATAAAGAAATAGTAATAATACATTTAAAAGCAAAATCAATACAGCTTTTAAAGAAGAAATTATAAATTTTCCTGTCTAAAAGACATGCATCACAATTCAGAATGGGAGATTGGTACAACCTGAGTTATTCAGACATGACTTTACTATGTAGCACTGTACATGAATTATGGCACATAATGGAGAAAAGACTGAGATATTTGTAGAAAATGGGAAATAATGGCAAGAAATGGTGAGTATTAAAATAGATGTTATTGTGAAGAAAATCAATCACCCGTAACAATATATTGTAATTTATTTCTTTATTTGTAATTTCACTTTTGTTCTCTTTGAACCAAAGTTATTTCACTTCAGCATATGAATTTGTAACTATAATCCAACTTGATTCATGTTGTTTATTTCTTTAGCTTTCCAAAATAATTATCATTGAAGATGAACATTATGTGAGCTCTGATATATTCATTTAACATGTATCTCTAACATGCTTCCTAAAAATATACATTCTAGAAGAATGTATTAAATTAGTTTTCCACATTAAAAATAATCACATCTAGGATAGTGGATTGTAAATTTTTATTAGAGAGCTTCAAAAACTGATATTAAAATTATTTAGTAACAGCAAACCAATATATAGACCCCTGTATATAAAGATGCAAGATAAAAGAAACACATTGTACAGTTTGAACATCCTCCTGGGATTCTTATGACAAATGTTGGTGAATTATCCTCCTTGGATATGTTGGTGAATGTTGACATAAGAGAGAAGTCAATGATCCTGACACTAAGAAAAGTAATGTCCAAGATTACAGGTAACTGTATTCTATTGACAGCCATGAAAATAGAAAATAATCTATCATTTTTAAATGAATGAAAATATGAGTGCTCTCAATTTGAATTTATATCTAACCATAGTCTAACAGATGAACTAAGGATGACTGAGGACAACGACTCCTCCATAACCGAGTTCATCCTCACAGGATTCACAGATCATCCGGAGCTGAAGGTCCTCCTGTTTGTGGTGTTCTTTGCCATCTATCTGGTCACCATGGTGGGGAATCTTGGATTGGTGGCCTTGATTTACATGGAACGCCGTCTTCAAACACCAATGTACATCTTTCTGGGAAACCTGGCTCTCATGGATTCCTGCTGCTCCACTGCCATTACTCCAAAGATGCTAGAGAACCTGTTTTCTGCAGACAGAAGGATTTCCCTCTATGAATGCATGGCACAGTTTTATTTTTTTTGTTTTGCTGAAACTGCAGACTGCTTCCTTTTGGCAGCAATGGCCTATGACCGCTATGTGGCCATTTGCAGCCCACTGCAGTACCATACCAGAATGTCTAAGAAACTCTGCATTCAGATGACCGCAGGTGCCCACATTGCTGGAAACGTGCATTCGATCATTCACGTAGGACTATTATTTAGGCTGACTTTCTGCAAGTCAAATCAAATCAATCACTTCTTTTGTAATGTCCTTCCCTTATACAGACTCTCCTGTATTGACCCATATATCAATTCATTAATGATACTTATCTTGTCAGGATCCATTCAAATTTTTACAATTACTGTAGTCCTAATATCCTATTTCTATATTCTTTTCACTATATTCACAATGAAATCCAAAGAGGGAAGAGGCAAAGCCTTATCTACCTGTGCATCCCACTTCTTGTCTGTGTCAATATTCTATGGTTCTCTTCTCTTCATGTATCTTCGACCCAGTTCAGTTAATGAGGGAAATAAAGATATATCAGTTGCTATTTTTTACACTCTAGTAATTCCTTTATTAAATCCTTTCATTTATAGTCTTCGGAATAAGGAAGTAATAAATGCTATAAAAAGAATTATGAACAGGAAACAATTTAACATTTAGCAATAATTATTATGCCTTTCAACTCAATAATACTTTTTATAAATCAACATATTGAAAAACATAAAAATTCCACTTAGTACTCAAAATATTAACACAGTAAAACATGTTGGTATTTTATTTAAAAAAATAAGGCTCTAGTATATACCTGAATAAGTAGGGTGTTGTTTAAACTTGGGTATCTTTTTGTAGTTTAAAAAATATCCATTAAATGCTGGACTAGAAGTTAATATACATAAAAGTTGCTAGGAAATTTCTTAATCTTAAAGCATAATGTTAAAGTAGCAAGTACACCACAAGTTTTCAGTCATTGATCATTGCAAAAACCATATGATATTATGAGAACAAATTTTATGCTCTTTGATTATTAAATTGACTACAGTTATTTCAAGTTTTCTTATCAGTGATATCTTTATATTTTATATTAGTATCTAACATTTTCTGAACTAGAATAACAATTCCTGATTATAAATTGTTGTTTAAAATGAGGAACTTCATTGTGACATCCCAATGTATTTTTATATACTTTTCTAATTTGTCTATCTTCTATGTCACTATAATTGCTGAATATATCCAATAAATCTAGTGCTTTCTTCATGGTAGTAAAACTGTTTTGTTGGTCATTGAAAATACCAACATCTGCACTAATTTCAATTTAAAAATATTGATATGTTCCCAGAATTTATGAAAGATGGACATATTTTTCAATTGCAAATGAGGAAGAAAATGGTGCATATCCTAAATATCTGATTCAAAGTACTTCTTAATCAGACAAATGTACAAACACCAAAGAAAAGTAATTTACTTGGATATGTTGGTGAATGTTGACATAAGATAGAAGTCATTGGTACTTCAAGGCCCACAACCGACAAAAAAAAAAAAAAAAAGAGGTCATTGGTACTGACACTAAGAAAAGTAGTGTCCAAGATTACAGGTAACTATGTTCTACCAACAGCCATGAAAATAGGGGTGGGGGGAAACCTACTGTTTAAAAAAAAATGAATGAAAAAGCTGGGCACCTTTGGCTCACTCCTATAATCCTTGCTACTCAGGAGGCTGAGATCAAAACCAACCCAGGTGGGAAAATCTGTGAGACTTTTATCTCCAATTAACCACCAGAAAACAATAAGTGGTTCTGTGGCTCAAGCGGTAGAGTGCTCGCCTTGAGCTGAAGCACTCAGGGACAGCGTCCAGGCCCAGAGTTCAGGCCCCATGACTGACAAAAAAAAGTGAAAATTTGAGTATTCTCAATTAGAATTTATATCTACCCAACAAACAGATAAACTAAGGATAACTGAGGACAACTACTCTTCCAAAACTAAGTTCACTACCTATAAGGTACTCTCCAAGAACACTTATTGAGCTGTCTTGTCATGCTTTTCTGAATAAAAACCTCATGCACTGAAATGCTTACGGGCTTGGCCAAGCTCATCCAGGCAAGTCCAATGCATCTGAATTTGAATCATGCTTTTTCTGTATATGGCTTCAGGATTCAGATAATGGAAATTATTGCCTCTGGTGTTTGGTGATTAAATAATATGAGAAATAAACTGTATCATAGGACAGACACTTAATAGTTGCTCCAAAAAAGGAACCTGACCAGGTAATGTTTCTGTGAAAGTCTAGAAAATGAGTCACTAGGGTTGGGAAGTAGGAGTTGACAAAAAGCACAGAACCAACAATGTGACTTGGTGACTTATGGTACTGTGAATAGATCAGGTCACTGAGAACCTTCAATTCTACTCTCAAAGAATCAGAATTTATATTGAGACATCAGAGACCATATTCTTCTTGGCAGCAGAGTAATTTCAGAAAACTGATTTGGAGATTGATTGATTTAAAAAGGTATGGAATGAGATAATGATACATACATATAATAATTCATTCTAAAAGTTATGTCTATAATATTATAAAACATAATAAATAATTCAGCTCTATAATAATGAACACATATATGTTGATGAAAGAATAATCAAAGAAAGGAGAACAGGACACAAAATCAGCTTGTTATTGTTGGATAATATAATAATCCTACACCTTTAGAATCAACCATGTAACACGAGATTTCATATTATCAATATTCAACCAATGTATGTCATTTGGCAGTCAGTAAATACTTCCTACAAAATGGTTTTAATAGGATTATGCTCATTTTCTATAATGAAACATTTACTTTTAAATATTAATGTTTTAATTTACTATTTAGAAATTACTAAATTTGGTAAATACTCATAGATATACTCACTACAAGAAAGCAATTTAGGTTCTTTAAATAAAGAGTACAAAAGTATTAGATTTAAATTATTTGGTAGTATAAATCTCCACTTTAGTGGACAATTTTTCAAGTCCTGATACTTTTAATATGCATATATTAACATCCTGTCTGGCATCTGCATTTCTCACTTAGCCTCATCCTTTATTCTGGTGTTCTAGAGTTTATAAAATCTAATACTTCTCCACATTCCCTGATTCTTCCTTCTGTTAGTTCAAATGTACTGTTGGTATTTATTTTACTTATTGGCCTCTTCAACTACAAATTTTTCATTTATTTTTAGTTTCTTTTTCTTGGTAGTCTATATTTGATGTAATATTGCCTTCAGAACTCCATTTACTTACTCCTGGTTCTTTTTATCTTCTAAATATATTAATTATGCCCCTTTGAAGCATTTAATGCTAAATTCTATGTCTTCTTAGTCTCACAAGCATTTTTATTGCACGTTTTATTCCATGTGTCACAGTTTTTACCTACTTTATGATTCTTTTATTGGTCTGATATGGTGGAGGACATAAAGATGGAATACGATATTTGACTTGGATTGTGAAAAATGGATAATGAATGATTTTAAGATATAAATGTAAGTGTGCTGTGGATAAGACTTCCCTGGTAACTCATTACTTTAGCTAGTAACTGTAATTGTAACTCTGTAACTCCATAACCCCGTCACTCTGTTACTCTGCTTCTGCTGTTTTCTGAGCAAGGGGAGCCCTAACCAGCTGACCATCACCACCCTTTGTTCTATTCCCCTACTTCCCACAAGCAAAACCTTGGCGGAGAAATTTAAATTAAGGTGCATATTTCTTGTAACAATCATTGGCTAAAACTAACACCCAGCCTCCCCCTTTCTCTGCCCTAGTCCAGAATGCTTAAAAGCCCACATGGGCTGGCACTCTAGGATCCCAACTCCAGGTGTGGTCCTGGCCTGTCAGCACTTTTCCCTCAATAAAATCTTTTACATTTCACTGCAGACTGAGTGGTCTCACTGCCCCACCCCACTACAGGTCATTTGAGGATAAAATATAAGAGTCACTTTACTCATTCACTCACTCTAGAAGCTTGTTAATACTTGTTTATGGTTGACAAACTGGCTGGAATATTTTTGTGAAGACTATTTTTGTTTTTCTCAACATGTGGAGACTGATACTGCTCTTCAAAAGGATGCAACATTCAGTGTAGCATGCACACCTCGGATGACTATCCAGTTAGCACAGGTCTACTTCATTTTTTTATTATGTTGGCTAATCATGCTACGATTATTCCTCATTCATATCCTGTTAAATCAAGCCCCATTGCAAAGAGAGTTCCTCACAACCTGTCTGAGATTCCTTCTAGCTTCCTGTCTTTTGTTGTCTTAGGAAAGCCAGTTAATCTATGGCATAGTTAATGATTAGTATTATTTGTTACCAACATGCCTTGCACCAAAACATTCATTGTTTACATCTTCTTATCCAAAACAACATAATGAAATTCATGCATGAAGAGAGTTCTGAGAGGAATGGGTAAATGGAATGGAGGTGGTGAAATTGAACAAACTACATTCAATGTATACATGGACATAGCACAATAAAACTACTTTGTACAGTAAGTATACACTCCTTCAAAGATAAAGGAGGGAATACTAATAGGTGTGAGTTCTCTACATTCTATTTTTATTTTCTTTATTTTTACATTCTATTTTTAATATGGTTAATTCTCTTTGGATATCCTTGATAAAAATTTTTGAGACTGGGGCTCCAGATCTGGAGTTGGAGACAGTGGCTTAATTCTCCCTGACTGACACAGCTAATATAGGACACTGGGTAGAAGTGGTGGACTCTTCTCAACATGCACAGTATTAAACCTTTGCCTCACAAGTAAGCTGAGAGTGAACGTGACCAGGATACTGCCATTAAATTTGTTCATGTCACCCTCACAAAAGAGGATTGGGTAGAAGAAGGGATCCTGAAACTCCTGGGAAAACTCATCTGGAATTTAGCTTCTGTAAACACATAGCTGATGTAGGTGAAAGGAATTTACCACTAGGTGGGAGGGAAAGGAAGGAGCTGTGTGTCCATGGAGAAGTATGAGTTATGCTGACCTAAAGCCAAGGGACAGAGAAAGCTTTGATTCAAATGGGACAGAATCTCCCTGTTTTCACCAAAATGGAGTGACTATTTCTGCTTCTTTAGTTACTTAACTTTAGCTCAATTTCAAAGACATTAAAATAGGCTTTTACTATAAGATTTTCTCAATTGGAGCTGGTCCATGAGAATTCTCATGTTGCCATTCTACAATTAGAGCTTCACTGTAGATTTTCAATTTGATTTTCCCAGTTGGAAGTGTTCTCTCTTATTTCCAGTTTAGTAAAATATTTTTATCATACATTTGTATGTTGGTTTTGTCAAAAAAATTCCTTCATAAATTCACATGATAAATGATTAATCTTTTAAAGTGAAAAGAATATTTTAATGTGTTGTGTTACATTTAAATATCAATCAGCCTTACATGGCTGAAGCAAATCCCCCTTATAACAGAGTATAAGAAGCCCACTTTTAGCAGGCACCCTTGGCTCGTGCCTGTACTCCTAGCTACTGAGGAGGCTGAGATCTGAGCATGGAGGTTTGAAGCCAGTCCTGGCAGGAAAGTCCATAAGACTCTTATCTCCAAATAACCTGGCAGGAAAGTCTGTGAGACTCTTATCTCCAAATAACCACCAGAAACCCAGAAGTGATCTGTGGCTCCAGTG